CAAGCTGCAGGAAGTCGCAATGAGCCAGGAATCTCACTATTCCTATCTATCCTGCAAACTTAACTGTCAGAACTTGATATGTCCTCATATTTATTTACGAGATAACTCCAAACACAAGGTTTTTCTATTTTGTTGCTTCTGAGATCCACAAAAAATTAGTTGAAAAGGAACAACAAAAGTTATGATCATACATTGATCATCTTATAAAAATCAGACAGCTTGCGTATGAACAAATCCATAAAACTTACAAAGTTAGCATTCAGTTTCTGGGCACCAACCATACTAGCTAAGAGGCCTACAGAATGTGTAACTTTATATCTTGGATTACAGTTTGGGCTTTGTCCAATATTTTTGTCTTGCACATGTGAATAAAAGACATTTTTCTGAGCTGACATAATCTCTCTGAACTGAAATTGCACTTTAAAAGCAATAAAAATTTAAACAGTAGAGTTTAAAATGCAAAAGAAAGTCCATCAACCCAGCCTTTTTCAGAGCATTTTCTTTCACGGCTTAATAATAATAAACAATATCACTCATAAAGAATCAGTTTAATTTCTTGCTGAACTTTTAAGTTACACACAGATGACATGAATTTCAGTTTATCCATGCAGTTCAGATCTCTCACTACAACCAAAGCTTCACATCTAGAGCTGTGATTTATGCCCCGAGATGTCTTTTATATTATCACCATTTCTTTGAAGTAACTGACAGACATAGTTAACAGATCTTGTATTTCATGCGTAGTGATGTTTAACGTTTAGGTGTTGCCATTTTCTGCACATATTTCTCAAAATTATCTGTCTCATTGCCTCCCAATTTGAATGGCTAAAATTTCAAATGAGCTACTTTAGCCATGAAACAATTTTTGACTCAGTTGACCTTATGAACAATGGCAATATTGAACAAAGACACCACTTTTAGGCATTTCTTGTTGAATATGATAACTGATTCTAATTGCTTGAAGCCAGTCACATGCTCATCGTATATCAACATTTTCACAGTAGAATTAGCATACAGAACTCCCAAAGGCAAAGCTGGCTGAAACCATTAAAGCTATGTATTTACCTGATCTGACATCACATAACTATAGAAATCTCCCTATTTCATTTGATATCCCATACGTATGTCCTGTACTTAAGTAAACAAATAGTGGGAAGAGGCTGAAACATAACTCAAAAAAATGAAGAAGGGTCCAGACCCGAAACGTCAGCTTTCCTCCTCCTCTGATGCTGCTTAGCCTGCTGTGTTCATCCGACTCTACATCTTGATATCTCAAAAAACGTTGTGTTCTGTTTACCACATCTTGCATTATGCAGAAAAGTATCGCTCAGAGAACCCCACACAAAAGTCAAGTTTGTCCCATTACAAACGTTTCTGAACTTCACAGCGTCCTCGGAACAGCTGTATGCCCACATAGCTGTATCTCTTAGAGGGAATGTTGTTCCTGACTCCATTCCTACAGTCTACGATTTTCAACAATAGCATTTTAGGCTCCGAGCTAGTTTGGCTTGAGGCCCTACAACCTGCACCCCTAACCTGGCCAACTTCTTGGAGGAATAGACATGTTCTGGTCCTTCACTAACTTTATGGAGTCAGGCTAGCGCTTTAAAGTGTTGTTCACAGCAGAGGTGGTGTGAACCAGATTCTGGATAACAGAACCTTTGAATGGTGAGTTCAAAACGTACTACACAGACCCCCTAGAAATCTATGGCCCCTGCCCATAACCCATGCCCCTACATAGCCCTCCCTCTCTACAACCACATTTCCTCCATTCCAATCAACATCATTTCCATGCCCATTTATCTACTGTCCAAAATCAATGCACCCTAGACTGTTTAAACAGTCTAATGGACTGTATAACACATAATGAGACTGCTTCGCTGCCTACAAACATTCTTCACTGCAGTGAAAATTTGACTTTTGCAGGAAATTTCACCCAAGGGAGGCTGAGCTATGCAGGTTTCTGACTCTGGCTTTCCTCCTCAAAGATGAAAATCCAGCCAATGTCCCAAGATTTCCAGGGTGCACTGGAATTTTTAAAGCAAGGGCTGTCACATAGGATTGGGTTGGGGGGAGGAAGCAAGTCAGCAACCCACTCATGACCAAATAACAGCCTGTTAAGCAACTTGAGGAGCTTACCAACAGGTTGGGAAGGGGCAGGAGGCTATGTTCAAATCCTAAATCACCTGAGAACCAAATGGTCTGGTGAACTTTCATGAAGAGAGATCAGGTTCAATGCAGTTACATGACTTCTTTCTTTTCATAGAATCATAGAATTCCCACAGTGTGGAAACAGGCCCTTCGGCCCAACAAGTCCACACCGACCCTTGGAGCATCCCACCCAGACCCATCCCCTTATAACCCACCTAAGCTACCCATCCCTGAGCACTACAGGAAATTTAGCTATGGCCAATCCACCTAGCCTGCATATCTTTGGACTGTGGGAGGAAACCGGAGCATCTGGAGGAAACCCACACAGACACAGGGAGGATGTGCAAACTCCACACAGAAAGTCGCCCGAGGGTGGAATCGAACCCAGGTCCCTGGCGCTGTGAGGCAACAGTGCTAACCACTGAGCCACCGTGCCTCCCCTTTTGATCAAAAATTACTGGGGCTGAAGGGTTTTCTTACAGTGTTGGGTGCAATACCTTTCAATGGGCACTTAGGGCATATTTCCAACTGCTGGCCCTCTGCTGGTGTGCCTCTCCTTTTCTGTAAAGCAGCAACAGGTTCCATCATGAATCATGCTGTATAGTTCCAGCTCCTGGCTACTAATTTGGTGCCAAGTTCACCTCTTGCTCAATTAGGTATTTGCATTTAAAGATGCAGCACATGGCTGGGAGCTGGAAATTATCTGGGTGTCGAGATTCCTAACGCTGCTTTGAGAATCCAAACCTGGTCTGCTTGAATCAATTGGACACAATGGTTATCTCCTGAAGTCAGGCTGCAGTTACTCAAGCAGCTCAAGGTTTGTATACGTTCAATGGTTGACATTTTTATTTGTCTTCTCATCAAACTGGTGAGACTAATGTCCAGAGAAAAGAAAAATCTGCTTCTTCTAACTTTAAGGCCACAGAACATATACTTGCAAGGTGAAGGCTCCGGGGGCTGATTGGCTCTCTCCTAATACTTGCTTACTAAGCAAGCATGTACTTTGAGTAAAATGCTGGATTGTTAATGATGTGTTATTACCAATAGAAGAGCAAGATATAGCTCTTAAATTATTATCCTCGTTCAGGCATCCATCCAACTGGCATGGGCTCTACTTTACGTAAATAATTGAAACTGTTCAACAATGGGGACGACTTCTGGCTGTATATTTTGGCCCACTGTACTCCTGTCAATGGAAAAGACTTCGAAGAAGCTCACAGGTCTCACGGTTTCATTCTCAATGCTCAACAATTCACTGATAGGTCCTGACCATTTTGGCACTGGAATTTTATACACCCATACGCCCCCATCCCCACTGGCTTTGTGTTTTCACACCCAACATCCTCCCTGCTATCAATGAGCTGCTATAACCATAATAGGGTACGTGGGCTGGCACCAAAATTGTCAGTGATTAACAGTCAATGATTCTTGTTACCAAGTCAGTTAACAGGAAAGTTACATTACCGAAGCTTCGACGGGATTGTCCCAGGCAGCTGGATGTGAGTGGAAAGGCCATTATTTATGTCACACATTGTAAAAAGGTGTGAAGCAAGGGAGGAGGTTCAGTGTTCAGAGGGAAGGGGGTATACCCTATGTGTTAACTTGAACCCTCCAAGATATCTCTCCGAACTTCAGTCCTCTTCAGTTGGTCTCCAGCATCCTCCTTCTCACCCTCCTCAGCTGGTTCCACGTTACACAGCCCTCTTTTGTCTTCAACACCTTAAAAACGAGAGACTTACCTGGTTCCAGGATCCACTGATGACATTTGTGGGCCAGCTTTGAGTCTCAGCTGCCCCCACCAGGTTCTGAATGGCCAGCAGCTCATAAGGGTGGATCTTCCGTTCAGTCAAGCAGAAGTTCCACACTCCCCCCTTCTGGGGGACTGAGCAGCCTGCCACCTCTATAATGAATGATATAAATATCACATAATAGATGGATATAAAAATGAAAACATTTGCCAGTTATCTGAGGAATCCTTTTGCCTATCGTGTAGTGTAATACTTATTTCAGCTCACCGTCTTTCTAAGATTCTCATTAAATTTCAGTCTGCTTCACTTGCTTGTTCTATCCAAAAGCTAAGTACTGCTGCTTAAACTGTCTCAGGATCCACCAGGCAAACACGATAGATATCTACCTCAGAGAAGTCACAAGGCTAATATTTGGGATGTTCTGATCAACATAACTCAAGTGCATTTCATGTAAGCAGATATTGAACTCTTAAGGTCTGCAGGGTAAATATCCTCCTCAAAGTACACTGCTGGCTGACAGCAAAAGAAGCACCGCCATTGACACAGGACTGCGATAATACTCACATACTCATCTGAAATCCAATAGCCCCTACTGGAACAGAGTCCATGCCTTACAAACTGACAACCATTTGACCTCTACTGGTTGATTGCAAACATCAGTAACCGCACACTGGAAACTAACCCAAGTGGTGAGGTTTCAACCTTCTATGAGAAATCTGGAGAACCCTCAACTGCCTGAGGACAGGCCAGGATAGGTGTTGCCACTTGCTCCACAAGTGGAACATGAGGAACAACTCATATCATGACAGTGAACATCCAAGTGAGACTTTCTCCCATAAATGGGACGTCTTCCTTGAGAGATTCATTCCTGGTTTCCATCATTATCATTCACATTGTGTAAGCTGAAACTTGAATGGACTGCAAACTTCAACATTGACGCTATGATGTTTCCTTGAACGAGTAAAATAAAAGTCTGGGTATACAATGAATCAAGGATCTTTTGAGGGATGAACTTTTGACAACTACATAATACTTCGCGTTTCTTTGATATTTAATTTTTCTTCAATTGTAATATAAGAAAGAAAACTCAACCACCTTTACCTTGTCTGGAGAATTCATCTGATTCCCTGTGAACCAACTCTGTGACACGACTCCCATAATGCAGTCTAGCATCATGATCGTATGCTTTCAGAGTTTCAGTTGAGCTATAGGACTTCTGTGTAGGCACCCTGCACTCTTCGCTGTCCAGCGAGGAACTTGTGTACCGGCACTCCTTCACACACCGGCCTCGTGTCAAGGAGCGGTGTCTGCGGTCTTTGACATCCATCCTTCGCAAGGGAATTGTTTGACAGTTGTTACCAAACTGCACTCGTGTATTTGGAAAATTTTAAATTCACAGAAACCTGCAAAAAAAGATATAAAGGTAGCTTTGAGCCAACTTGATAGCTAGTGTGAGAAAATAGGAAATGATTTATATACAGTGCACATTATAAGCAGACTCTTTACTACATCTGGGACTTAGTATCCTGTATTTGTGAGTCTCAATAGGTTAACACCAGCTAAAAATGCATTCTTTGCTGTTAGGCACCCCATCTTGGTGTCACAGGCTATGTAAGTGTCTTCACTGTAACACGGGAATTGATTTATGAGGGCACAGAGAGCTGTGGTGGTGATCTGAATTATTTTCCTAGCTTCTCAGTTGGGTTACAGCACCTGAATAAAGATAGTTTGTCTCCTGATTTCTTAGCACCATTTCCCCTTTGGACATACAGTAGGTCATGCAAAATCTAAAATTGTGTAATAAATCACTTACATAACCCAGTCAGGGTATATATTCTAAACTGGCAGGATAGTTTTATAAAACACAAATTCAGTGAGAGCACTGTATAGATTGAATATGATGTAAAGGGTTAACTATATCTTTACTTGAAGAATAGCAACTGAGCATGTGTGAAAGAAGCTATGTCACTGTGATATCAGATCATATGGAACTGGAGCCTGGGTCATAAGGTTGCAGAAGTATGTTCTCTCTTCCCAAGCCTTTGAATTGTTTTATTAATAAAGCTTGTTAAAGGTTGCTCATGAGAGCTGAAAAAAGCACTTTACAACATCGGGATGAGAGCTGTTTAATGCATGCCTCCTAAATCCCCTCCAAAGGAGCAGTGAATTCTAGCTCTGAATCAGGCCATGGACCAAGATACACTTCTACATAATGGAAGATACTCAACTCACTGTACTGAGTGGCCATCAGAAGGCAATCCAACAGTATTTTTCTTGGAAAACTCACTAAGACTTCTTTTCAGACTCGCGGAGGCTAAGGGCAATTTGCCTGGCAATCCTCTCTGCTGGGAAATGATATTGGAGGAGGGTTAAGGGGTAGAGTGTGGAGAAATAATTGGGTTGAAATAAAATTTGATGAATTCCAAAATTTGCTGGCACTTGTCCCATTGGAACAGGAGATATGTTGGGAATTACCAGAGTGATACAAAAATGTTTCCATCAGAGTCAAGTTTAAGTTGCTACAACAAATGGAAGAAGTCCTTTCTGGCTTCAATTAGAATATTAATGAATGACTTCTAAATAGGAACAAAAGTATTAAATACTCAGTCTGCATGTCAAGCATGATGGCATTATACAAGTGGTACACATTCACTCTTTTTAGAATACTGAAAATGGCAGAACCATGCCTAGGTAATGGCAACACTTTTTTTTTTCCTTACATTTGCTGTACTGAAAATGAATAATCACTGAAGTTTGTTTTAGAAGATCTGCAAAAGGGACAAAATATGCCACAAAAAAAGGAATGAGATTGCAAGAAAAAATGTCCAGCCACTTACTATTCCCTATAAATACCACAAGAGCTAAGCAAGATGCAGGGAGACAATTACAAATGTGGAAGGAGAGTGAAGGTAAGCAGGGGGGCAGAAATTGCAGGCAAGAGCGAAAAACAGAGACAAACAGTTTCACAGCTTGAAGCAAACAGCAATGACTGACGTCCAGGCTTGTGACTGCCATAAAGGTTACAGATCCTAGCCTAACGGATTAGCAAATGCTGCCAGAGGCAGTCAGTCCCCATCATTCACTTCAATCACTATTTGCTTTAGACTCGAATTGCAGTTCAGTCAAACAAGGCATGTAAATGGAAAGAACACCTAATAATCCCCCTTCAAACCATGGAAACAAGTGGAGATCTACATATTTATATAAAAATCATTTTCGTTATTCCGCATTAAAGGAAACCTATTAAAAATAACTGGAAATCAATGAAAAATCAAATAATGTTATGGAATATGTGATTCCTTTACTTCCAATTTGTCACTGTGAAAGACTGAATTTGTAGCTACCCAGGTTTAAAATTCATAGAGTTCTAACAGTCACATGCTCCCACTAGACTGTGATCTCTGAAAAATTACAGGAGCTCCTAGCTGTCAAAGAATTTACAAGTAGGGTGCTCAAGGGCACCTGAGGATCCAGAGAAGGTTACGTTAAAACTGAATAGAAGCCAAGACTCCCTGTGGGAATGACAGCTTCAACAGCCTTTTTGCCAGACCCCTGTGACTGCCAGCAGAACTGTGGTATTTATTAATTTTGCACACATGCCCTTGAAACAGAGGTCAAATTAGGGAGACTGCACTACAGTCAGGTTAGACACCAAAGCCATGGAAAGATACATGTTCAGAAATTATTCACAAACCAACTGGAATGAACTGCACGTATTGCATTTCTAATGTTATCCCCTGTTAAAATGTAAAAAGCTAGGATTTTAATTGACATTGGTGTCCCAAATCCTTGGATATCAAATAAAATGCAGTGGCATCAAGATCTGAGTGGCACGTGGTTTACTTCTGAGATAAAGTCAAACCCAGCCTTCTTGTACTGGCTGGGAGATTCTAATCTAAGTGAGTTTGGAAAGCCATTTAGATTCTGTGAACAGCACAAAACTGCCCATAAGTCAATGCCAATCGCTGAAGGGGCAGTGTTAATTTGAAAAGCAACACATATTAGTGCAACCATTAAGGAGATGACAGCGGAATGTATCACTTTTCCCCATCCTAAATTTTGTTTCTTATATAACTTCTATCTCTTTCAGATTGCAAAATTGCTGTTGTCACTCCCTCTAATTCAACATATGTAGCTCTGCCCCTAGCTACAAAGGTAGCTGTTGTGGGCTGTGAATAATGAACCTATATCATAAAATCCATAGAATCCTTGCAGTGTAGAAGGAGGCCATTCAGCTCATTGAGTCCACGCTGACCCTCCGAAGAGCAACCCTCCTAAACACAACACCCCCCACGCTATCCCTACAACGCTGCTTTTACCATGGCTAAACCACTTAGCCTGCGCATCCTTGGACACTATTGGCAATTTAGCATGGCCAATCCACCTAATCTGCACATCTTTGAACTGTGGAGGGGGAGAGCCAGAGCACCCGCAGGAAACCCACACAGACACAGGGAGAATGTGCTGAATGAAACCTCAGCATCTCACTGGATTTAACAATGAGGAGGATGGTGATAGACTTTAAGAAGATGTAGGCAGACTGTGGAATGGACGGATGGATGGAAATATGGCTGATATATGTTGCTGCAGTGAAAAGTGAGATGATGTATTTTGGTAAGAAGAAAGAGGTGAGGTTGCTTAACATAACGGGTGCAATTCTCATGGAGATGCAGAAAGAGAATATTTTGGGGATTCATAGAACATCTGCACGAGTCGGTGAAGGGTCGGAAAGCAGGTTGAGAATATGGTTTAAAAATTACACAAGATGTGAAAAATCTTCATAAGACTCTAGTTTGGCCTCAACTGAAGTACTGTGTCCAATTCTGGGCACTGCACCTGATGAAGAATATAATTTTATAGTCGGTGCAGAAAAGATGTACAATACAGTGAATGTTTTTAGTAATGAGGGAAGTCAGTTGCATGGTTACATTGGTGAAGTTGTGTCTGTTTTCCTTCAAGAAGTGGTTGAGAAGAGATTTAATGGAGATGTTCAAAATCATCACAGCTCTAAACAGAGTCAATAGAGACAAATGTTCCATTGCTGTTCATACATGAAACCAGAAAACACAAATTTAAGATGATTGGCAAAAGAACAAAAAAAAAACCTTTTTTACACACCAAGTGGTTATGATCTGTAATGCACTGCCTCAAAGAATGGTGTAGACAGATTCATTGGTGGTTTGTAAAATGGAATTGGTCTGTGCTCTTGAAAGGGAAAGAAGCCAGAAGACAATGGGGAAAGGGTAGAGATCTGTCTGGCTGCATTGTTCTTCCAAAGAGTTGGTAGGGATTTATTCTATGATTCCACAAATTCCAAGTTCAGTTTCACTCAGATTAAATCGATAGTAAAGATTGTCTTGTATTGATAAATGAATGGTTTGGCTCTAAATAATGCTTTCATAGTCTCAGAATGTCCCAAAGCACTTTACAGCCAACTAAATACATTAAAAGTAGACTCAATGTTATAGCCTAGCAAAGAAAACTGCCAGTTTGCAAGTTCTCACAAACAACAAAATACATGACCAGATCATCTCTTTCTAATGCTGTTTAGGGATAAATGCTGACCATGCATCAGAAGAACTTCCAGATAGTGCCATGGGATTTGTTTTAGCCAGCTGAGAATGCCAACAGGGCCTTGTTTTAAAATCTCATCCAGAAGTGTAGCATGCATCCATATCTGATCATTTTAAGCCCTTTAAGTGAAATAATTCTGGACACTTGAACTGCAGTGGCTATATGTCAGCACTACACAGAGGTGTCAACCTAGATTATGTGCTCAGGGATCAAAAGTGAAGATCCTGAATCATCAACATTTTGTGGCCAAGGTTGAGAAATATATCACTGAGCCATGGCTGACACCTGATTGCAGTAACCTCAGTTACCAGCTTCTGTTGAATTGGCGTACAATGGTTTCACTTTTCACATTCTTTTGATCTCTCTGATTGAGGCAGCGTAGTTTCTGTTGAATAAGGGACTGCTTTGTGTTCTGGACTAGCAGTCACTGCCATCAAATTATTCAGACTCCGTACAATTAAACACCTGAAAGGCTGCAGAATCAGGAGACTTTAATTCTACCAGACTCAAATCCAGGCCTCAGAGGAGGAATCACACACTGTTGATGAACTACATCATTCAAATCTGAAGAGCAGCAGTATTTATAAACACTGATTAAGAATTTACAGTATTGCTGTCTTTATTCTCCTAGAAGTACAGCATTATAGTTAATGTTATGGCACTTTAAGTTGATGTTGTCCACATCTTGTAGCATGAAACAAATAAAAACGCTTTCTAAAGAAGGATCCAGACCCGAAACGTCAGCTTTCCTGC